TTTTTTTTTTTTTTTTTTTTTTTTTTTTTTTTTTTATTTCGTCGAAAATGAACAATCACGAGTGTACGAATCGATCGAAAAACGATTTGCAAAGAGTTTTTGCGTTTCCCTGCTCGATCGTATTACGTCAAAGAGAATTAGAATCAATTTCATCGTTATATTTTTATCTATTACGATTTTTTCTCGTTCATCGTTATACGATAAGGACACCCTTCTTACGATACTCTACTACTTGCAAGTAATATCGGACAAGTTTCAAGTTTATCGTCCAGATTTGTAATTGTGTAAATATAGTTGAGAACAGTTTGTTTTAAAGAAAGCAACGGTGGAGTGAACTTGGAACAGCTGTGTAAGTACCCACTCGAGAAATAATAAACATTGACATTTGGAATTTGTAAAACGGTAGTAGTAGATACCGAACCAGTTTCGTAAATCACGTTCCTGAATCATACGTAAGAAGAATCTGGTTGGAACGCAAATACCAGTAGATCCATGCTGGGCAAACACAGATTTTCCTCCAATTGTAGATAGATAGATGAAGGACGCGTAGAATCGGCGATTATCGACGGATCGACTTTATTATATTATTAGCATTTGTTGGAATCGCGTTTTCTTTTTAGAACGGTGGGGTTTCATCGAGATGTTGGAATCGCGATTCGAGTTTTTTTTCCATCGTAAATACGAAACGTCAATGTCGATCGAGTCGTTCACGTGATCGCACGTGATTGGTTACCACTGAATACTTGGATTTCCACGCATATCGTGTTTTTTTTTCCTTTTTTTCCTTGTCAACCCTACATCAGGTACACGTGTTGTGAGTTGATCACTTTCTTTCGCGTCTCGTCTCTCTACGTGGTTAATTTTTATCGAACAACGACGCTTATCGTCCTGATTTAATCACGGATAAATGGATTTATTTTCTATTCATATTAAACATTTAACGTTCATCGTAAAATCTTAATCGTTATTTTGCGAGACGAACAAAGTCAAGATTCCTAAATCACGTAATATTCTTCCCTCCTAGATAATATATTTACTCGTATTACTTGGCGATTAAACAGGTCTTACAAGATTTATTACCGTAAATTATCCCTCGAATTATTTATATTTAGGAACGAGAAACTAGTCGTTGATGTAACGCGAAAGTGTTTAAAGACACGGGCCGATGTACTTTCATGGCGCGCATAAATTACGTTATTTCTCGTGCGAATGTTGGAGGAGAAATAGTTGAGCATGTTGGAGAATTCCAGTGGGATCGATATACATATATGTATATTTCTCATAGTTTTGGAAGACGAGCCTCCAGTCGGCCTTGATTCCGTACACGTGTTATCACTTTCGAAATCGATTATAAAATGTATCGAATCGTTTGAAGCGTGTTATGCGTTAAAATTTACGTTTCTATATCTTCCTGAATGAACACGCTGAGTAATTTTAAAAATTTCGATATATATTTAAACATTTGAAATTTCCACGACGTTAAATTGCGAAACTATACGAATCGTCGAAAAATACGAATTTTAATTTCGGTACAATGTCCATCCAGAAAACCAGAAACACGACATTCTTTTTAAACTCTGTCTCGAAAGAAGATCCTAGAAGAAAATCTTTATTATTTACAATTTATATTTTGGTTAATAAAATTCATACAATTCGATGAAAAATGATTTATAAATTGTTGTTAATAAATTTCCATAATTTATAATTGTAATTAATAAAAAATGGTAAGTTTTTACATTATTTTTTATATGTGATAGACGAATAAGAAAAAATATAATATAGTTACGTAAACTTATAGGAATATACGTATAATGGAAAATGGAAAATGGATCTTAACGCGTATTTCCTCCTATACGATACGAATCCTGAGAGGAGAAGGGAAAAAAAAAAAATGTTCGAGATAAATCCGGAAAGTATAGAAAAATATATGTCGTAACAAATACGGACGACGAGAAAATATGTTTAGGTGTGTCGATCTACGTAATCGAATTATTTGGTTCGTTTTGAATAAAACACGATGGAAGGTGTGGAGTCTAATCGACCAATCCGACCGGTTCGTTTGTCCTCTAACCTCCAACAAGGAGTTCTTCTATTTTTTTATAACAATTGTAACGAGAATGAAGTTGACGACAAAGAATCGAGCTTCTTTTTTTTTTTTTTTCTCGTTTCTCTCGCATTGCGAATAATATTGAAACGATACAGGAAATCTAGATAGAGCAGATACAGCGAGCGTAGAATTTATTAAAATTAATTATGAAAGAAGGTGGAATATCTAGGCATCCGATCCAACCGGTTTCCCGGTTTCGAATTCATTTCGATTATCGGCGAAGACCGATCCTCCTCTCAGTGATGAAACATCGTTTGCCCAAGGATTATCGTTCGCTCATCTTCCAATCCTTTCTCGATAAGAAAACCACCGATTGAAATTCATCCCGGGCGGGACACATGGTATATTTGACGACGCGGCGAATTTCGAGGTGTCGAGGCATTTGAAATTTCCAAATTCGAGATGTCGACACAGGTTTTTCGCGATCGATGGAACGTGGAAGCGTCGGACATCGCGAGGAACACTCACAACCCCATAAGATCCATCGTGGAGAGCCTCGTGGTCGAGCCTAATCCCGCTAAATCTGTCATCTCCTTGTCGATCGGTGAGATTTTTTTCTTTTGCGTGCGTGTGTGTGTAAGTGTGTGTGAGAGTTTTATTTTATTTTCCTGGCTCATGAATTAAAAAATCGATGTAAAAATACAATAGTAAAAGTTTGTACGATACGTATTTTTTACAACTGGAATTCTGTTTGTCGATTAAAGTTTTTGCGTAAAAGTAATCGATTTCAATGGGACTAGAAAAAGTATCTGAGATAAGAACAGACGATGGAATCGAGTTTCTGGAATTGGCAGTGAAATTCGCGCTTAATCGCGTATAATTAGTTTAAAGGCTGTTTCTCTATTTAACAATAATCTTAAGCTATTTTAAACTTTACTCGAATATCTGAAAATACGGATACGGATAATCGCAAAGGAGATTAAAATAAAGTTTATATCTAGGGAATATCTGCTGCCAAAATTTCTTTGTTATCGAATTAAATTAGAACGAAGGGAGGGAATATAATTCTGTTTCAATTACGATTACGATCTTCTCTGGATTTTCGTCTCAGCGATGGTACAATTGCCATTTTCAAGAGGCAAATTTCTTAATCATTTAGAATTTTGAAGTATTATCAAATTAGAATCACGAAAGGAAAGTTTTATTTTCTATCTCTATCGATGCTTAGGCGATCCAACTACGTTTGGCAATCTAAAACCACCGAAAGAGGTAATCGAAGCAGTTCAACAAAGTCTCGTTTCTCAGTTGTACAATGGATATGCACCCAGTACAGGTATTGTTTCTATCCAATTTTTTTTTAAAATTTAATTATTTAATTTTTATTCTAAATTCGACTTATCAAATTTAACTTTGAATCTTTCTATAATTTTTTTTAAACAAACTTGTTTTCTAATTTTAGGTTATCAGATTGCAAAGGAAGCTGTAGCAGAATATAGTTCCAACGAATTTGTAAAAGTCGATGCCAAGGTAAAATTTTAAATAACGTTGTAAAAGATTTTATGGAAATACTATATTAAAATAACGTTCTTCTCATAATTATTTACGTTCAAAATTTGTGAAGAATATAGAACTTTTATTTATTTAATTGATTGCATTATTTACAGCATTTTGATTATCGAATCATTTGAATCATTTACCACTGTTCGAATTATATTACGCGCGATGCTAAATGTTGCGAAACAATATATGTATTATCGTTATTAATAATATTTCAAATTTTAATACACATCCCATAAAATACGTATG